CAGTATTAGGGGTGGGGGACACATAATAGAGACCATGAACAACAACAAACGTAGAATCCATTTCTTGGGACAATATTACAGCTGAAGAATAATCTGCTTCTGTGTTGTCTTCCCTGGTCCCTCCCCCTCATTAACATATTCATAGAACCTTTCTGTTTTCATGACATATCCTATTCTAGACTCAGTGATGTCACTACTGGGTCTCTGTACTTCATGCAATGCAGGTAGATCCTGGCTGATGGGAGGGCCCAGCAGGGTGCTGGACATAGCTTCCTGAAAACATCACAGCACCCTGCCTCAATGCTACTCTCAAGAGCCCTCCTAATGCAAGCGATGGGAGGAGTTATGCAAATATCAAAATGCCTTGAGGAGTGGGCGTACCTAGGTAGGCTGTATTTGCATGCAGACCACCACAGGTGATGTTGACCCTCCATGATGGAAAGATCTGAAATCCAATGAATGAAAGAAGCGGGCCAAGAGGGAAGTCAGGCTGGGGAGAAAAGCACTAGATGATGCTGGACGTCCTCCAGTCAGGAAATGAGGCGGAGCTCTACCTGGCTTGCTGCAGAACCTAATGCACGTTGTGAGAAGCTCGCAGTGTGCAGTGACATCAGAGGAAGCCATTCCAGTCCAGGTGAGGAGCCGGTACAACCATGCAAGACTGAAGGGGAGGCCGGAGGACAGATATAAGACTGAAGGGGAGGACGGAGGCCAGATAGAAGACTGAAGGGGAGGCCGGGGGACAGATAGAAGACTGAAGGGGAGGCCGGGGGACAGATAGAAGACTGAAGGGGAGGCCGGGGGACAGATAGAAGACTGAAGGGGAGGCCGGGGGACAGATAGAAGACTGAAGGGGAGGCCGGGGGACAGATAGAAGACTGAAGGGGAGGCCGGGGGACAGATAGAAGACTGAAGGGGAGGCCGGGGGACAGATAGAAGACTGAAGGGGAGGCCGGGGGACAGATAGAAGACTGAAGGGGAGGCCGGGGGACAGATAGAAGACTGAAGGGGAGGCCGGGGGACAGATAGAAGACTGAAGGGGAGGCCGGGGGACAGATAGAAGACTGAAGGGGAGGCCGGGGGACAGATAGAAGACTGAAGGGGAGGCCGGGGGACAGATAGAAGACTGAAGGGGAGGCCGGGGGACAGATAGAAGACTGAAGGGGAGGCCGGGGGACAGATAGAAGACTGAAGGGGAGGCCGGGGGACAGATAGAAGACTGAAGGGGAGGCCGGGGGACAGATAGAAGACTGAAGGGGAGGCCGGGGGACAGATAGAAGACTGAAGGGGAGGCCGGGGGACAGATAGAAGACTGAAGGGGAGGCCGGGGGACAGATAGAAGACTGAAGGGAAGGCCGGAAGTCAGATAGAAGACTGAAGGGAAGGCCGGAGGACAGCTTTAAGAAAGGATAAACTAAACAATCTCAGCCAATGTACATCTGAAGGAAGTTTTGCCTAATGCCGGACCTCTCCATTGCCTGTCGTACAATAGCAGCACAGAGCTGGTTACCATTAGTTACAGCACCGCGCGGCCGATCCTGTGATGTCTGTGTCTCGGGGAAGAACCTTTCATCCAACCATTGGGCGTCAGAGAGAAACATTTTCTCAGTGTTTTGTTTTTCTTGCAATGAAAACCAGATTGTATTTTCTTTGTGGCAACTGCCAAGGGCCAGCTGTGTGAGGCTCGGGGCCCCAGGGCAGAGGAAAGGGTGCGGTGTCGGCATACGGCACATGGGAAATCTTCAGACGGGCGCGGTTCATTGTGCTCATCTGATCCGACCCAACAGGGCCGATGGAGTGGAACTAATCTCCACTCTTATTTCTGGGTCTGTAATTACTAGCAGAGGGAATGTCCAATGTTGTTAGACTCTGCGAGAGTGTTACCAGGAGATCTGAATCCAGACAGAGAAGAGAGCAGAGCCAGAATGTCTGAAAGTGACCCAGGAGAGCCGGTGCTCCCAAATCTGCCCGTTAATGGTCACGTAGCAAAGTGGCCTTTTCAAGAGTTTGTGTCTCTGCCCCTCCCACAATGGTGATATTTCCTCCAGTTGTTTGTGTCTCTGCCCCTCCCACAATGGTGATATTTCCTCCAGTTGTTTGTGTCTCTGCCCCTCCCACAATGGTGAGATTTCCTCCAGTAGTTTGTGTCTCTGCCCCTCCCACAATGGTGAAATCCCCCCGGGACATTGTGTCTCTGCCCCTCCCACAATGGTGAGATTTCCACCAATGAGTAGCCAGTAATCAGATTCTGTTTTGTCTCCATTGTGGGTGAAATAATAATAACTGACATCTGGTGACTACAAAACTCTTCTGGACCAACATGGACGAGGCCGCGAATAAAAAACACCCGACGTCTGCGCTGGTGATCCGCTCGCTGTCACTCCCATCATCCTTTGGAATGTATCCCTCTGATTTCCCGCCTCAGATGCGGATTATCACCTCGTAAAGCCGACTCTTGGCTTCCTATGATCTCGGCAGTGACGACGCACCATACAAGGGAATGCACCAACCGGTACACAGCGGAGAGATAACGCATTGCTGGAATGGGATAGAAACGCAGTTTCCTGGCAGCCATGTTTGGTGGCATTGTCGGCATTCACCTATCAGAGAATTGGCTGCACACTCGTCATCTCTCAGTTCTGTATGTGATCCCCCCAGTCAGGATTCTTCACTTTAGCTGGGATTCTGGCCCCGCCTACTTTTTCAGGCTATGTGTAAGGACAAACCACCTAACCTGATGATGGCAGGCGGCTACAGCTCACAGCAACCCCAGGAGATAAGCAGTGCGTGCAGGAAAGTCTGCAAGCATTTCTATTTCTGTTTTCTTTCAGGGAAAATGCATGTTTTCCCCATGTTAAAGCACGCATCATTCTGAATGACCCCAACATGCGTATACAGCAAGTGTGTTAGCTCACCACGTGAGTGGGCCCTAAGCGCTGTACTTTGGAGTGAGCGGGTCCCAAGCCCTCTACATTAGAGTGGGTGGGCCCTATGTGCTCTACATTAGAGCGGGTGGGCGCTATGTGCTCTACATTAGAGCGGGTGGGCGCTATGTGCTCTACATTAGAGCGGGTGGGCGCTATGTGCTCTACATTAGAGCGGGTGGGCGCTATGTGCTCTACATTAGAGCGGGTGGGCGCTATGTGCTCTACATTAGAGCGGGTGGGCGCTATGTGCTCTACATTAGAGCGGGTGGGCGCTATGTGCTCTACATTAGAGCGGGTGGGCGCTATGTGCTCTACATTAGAGCGGGTGGGCGCTATGTGCTCTACATTAGAGCGGGTGGGC